AGCAGGAACCTTCTTCCCTACGTTTTAGCCTCTAGTTGTTACTGGTTTGGTGCCGAAGCTCATATTTTCTTCTCCTGGCAGTTCCAAGCTGATGCTCCTGCCCTCTCCCCTCCGGCATTGTTCCCAGGCTGTCATGTCATGCGCAAAACAAATACTCAGTGGCTCAGAGCTCCTTGCATCCAGGAGAAATTGCATTTTCACACTGGCTCAGAAACTTCTCTGCAGAGCCAAAGCAAAATTAACACTGAAACTAATCCCTTTGCCCCTAGCATGCACACCCCCTTCAATGGTGGAGCCAAAAAAGACTGGAGAGAATTAACCTTTTCTGTAAATTTCTGAGACGGGAAATACTCTGCTTTTAACTTTCTCTTCTTTCCTCTTTTCCAGTACCTGCATCAGGGAAACCAATCTTCCCTGGGGCAGGAAAGTGCCTTCTTCCTCTTTTCACTAATAATGCTGTGAGTTTATTTTGAGAAGAAATTTCCTATCTGTACCTATTTGCCCGGGACTGCAGTATAGCTTGGACGGCCTATTAGCTAGACCAGCTAGGTTGTAGGGCTTGTTAGAGTAACTGCTGCCTACTCTCAAGAGTAGCCAAGAGTAGCTGCACTCACTCCTAGGGATAAAGTATGCAAGTCTGGAGCTCCAGTGGCACATCCCTTCCTGTGATGCATATCACGTTACCATCATGGCCGTGGGAATATGCTGCTGGGTGAAACTAGAAACAAACATCTAGAAATAAGAGGGCAGCCTATAATGCTGAAGTGACAAGAGAGAAAGCGCATCGAAATTTCTGGTCTCTTTGACTCTTCTCTTTTCTGGTGTCAGAACCTATGTCTCCTGCTCCAGAAACGCTGCTTCTTTCTCATTTGCAGTGACTCATTAGCACGTTCTCATACAGGCTCCTGGACTGTCCACGTGGAGAAGGGAGGCATCGTGGTGGTGCTGAGGAGCCTGCTGTGGCTGGGATTGACGTTCTATCATGTCCCAATGACCAAGCAATATGGCTACGTCTACTTTGGCACCGGTGAGAAGAACTTAGATCTGCCCTTCATGCTGTGACCCTGCTGCCTGTGCTGATGACTCAAGAGCATTTGGATGTTATCCTTTGACATCTATGTTTATTGCTTATTCTAATAACTATATGAAACCTCTGCACTTTGAACAGGATTCTTCTTTGTCTGGACTCTGGCCCTGATTGTTTCCTAGGACTTCACTGTGTGCAGTCCTCCCTCAACTCCAGAGTGAATTCCCTGTAATGTGTCACTGCAGATCCTTTAGATAGTAATGACATTTCATCCAGGAAAGGCAGAGCCCTAGGTCAGAAATCAAACCTAGGCCATCTGTCTGAAAACAAAGACACCATGCTTACAGAAAAACTCATTTGGAGGCAACACAAATGAACGCCTGCTGTCATCCATGAATGCCAAACAAAAATAGAGTTTCTGCCTTGGAGTCAGAGGGGAAACCTGATGCATACTCTTGAGGGATCTGTACTAAACCCCGAGCTCCAGAAATGCATATTGAAGAGAGAAGGGTATCTTGTTTTTCAGATGTTAGGCGTCACCAAAATTAGAGGGGCCTTTCCAGCTCATGGTAGAAAACATTACTGTAGAAAAAATTTAGCTGTGCGCATCACCCAGTTGTCTGCAAAACCTGCTCATTCAGATTTGTCTCGAGGCAATCATTACCCGAGGTCTTTTCCATTAGTAAAACTCACTAAGCCGAACTACCTGGACTAGAAGACATAAAGTAAGTTCTGTGTGCAGAAGGAAGAAAGATGTTTTCCGTTCTGAAGGACTGTAGGTTTCAAAGCTTCATAAAATGGAGAGAGTCAGCCAGAGATTTTATCTCAGTATAATTAATGAAGTGTTGGCTCTGTCTCCCAAAGCCAAAAGATCTTGGCCAGCTCAAGGGGCTGAATCTAGGACTTCCACTTCACAAAGTATGACTAAAAAGAATCATTATAATCTAATTTGATTTCCTGAGTAACAGGGGCTTCTCCTCATCCTTTGTTTCTGTCCATGCCGATAGGTATTAACAGATGATTCTGATGAAAGCAATACAAGGCTCAGTGGAATAGCAGTACATTAAAAAAAGCTGTGATTTCTAACCCCCAGATACATATCAAGGAAATGGTGCCAAAGCAGTAATGTCCCTGATAAATTTAATGAGCCTTTCCTGCCAGGTCCATATCTAGCACTTCTCAAGTAGAAGTGGTCAGTAGGTGGAAGATGCCTGGATGTATTGTACAGAGAGAGAAATGATGTTACCCTTTAGCTATACGACAGAAAATGATGCACATCTGCCAGCCCCAAATTATAGTAGGAAGCAGCTCTGTCACTGATGCGGAAGACTTGAGTCACATGTATTTGCAAGGAGAAAAAAACAGGCCAAGTCGTTAAAGATGTCAACAATCTGTATTTGTTAGATCCAGGAGTGAAGCACAAGCCAGGAATCCTTGAGAGGGCATGTAAAATGCACACATGCCACCAAACACCTGAAACCACTGCCACAGGTGTTCTGCTTCAAATTATAGATAGTTCAGATAATAAAAATATTTTACTTCAGTAGTGATTAACATACGTTGCATCACTGCCAAGGAAGCACTGAGCTGCATGAGGCTTTTTCTCCCCTCATTGTCTCAAGTACAAAAGCCCCACAAGGCAAATCTGAGTCAATGCACGCATAAATGGAGAATCACCATTTGCTGCTAGAAAAAGGAGGAAACAACCTTCTCCAAACTCATTACTGGACCATAATGAAATACATACAAATCATCAGATTCTTTCTGGCTTTTAGGTAAAAGTCCCCTGCTGCCTCCAAATCCTTCTGCATGTTAAATTTTGCTCTGCTCTTGTTTTCTCCGAGATGAGCAGATCACTGCTCATTCACTGGAGATAATACAGGATACTAATGAGAGTTTTGGAATAAGGAAATTGTGGGTACTGACAAACTTGCAAAAAGGGCAGAGCAGTGTAAAACAGCTGTGCTCACCATCTGTGCCAGTTCCATTGGGCCCTAGTGGTTTAAATAGATAGGCTTGTGTGTATATTTGACATTATCCTTTAGTATAGGGTGTCCAACTGGCATGGGAATTTTGCACCATTTAGGGCCCCTCTTCCAGATGGGCTTTGCAGATCTGACGGACCAGCGGGTAAGATACCTGTCAAAACAGAACACAGACACATTTCACTTTGAGACTAATCACTGACAAAAGGTTTTGCCTTACGCAGGAGTAGCCACTCTAGCCTGTGCCTCCCCACATTGCGTCTTTCTAAAAGGTGGCAATAACCATGGACAAAGCTCCCTCAGTTCAGAAGGGACCACCGAAAAGAATTTTTTTTTTTGTTCTGGAACTTCTAAGCTGCACCTCTTTATTGAACCTGCTGGCACCTGCCATAAGTTCCAGTATCATGAAATAAATCAGGTGCAGTCTCCAGCTGCTGGCAAGTTGTCCATCTGTAGCTAAACTGGAGTGCTGAATCCCTTCATTACATCTAACTCCAAGTCTGAATGCATCCAACATCCATATTCTTGGGAGGTGTCATTTCAACAGCTGCCCTGAATAAAGTAAGCCAGTTACAAAGGCTAGGCTCAGTATAAAATAAACTCTATAAAGGGATTCATTTACTTCCAGTGCACAAGTAGATTTTTCTTCTGCATGAGACAGGTTTCTGGTCTAGTCATGTATTTTCATGTGCTCAAATTTGCTTTAGTATTTCTGTACACTATTCCAGCTTGCTGGTGCGGGAAGTCACATCCTGCAAATGTAAGAGGTACTAGAATGGAATGATCACAACTGCAAATCCCTATGAAGAGCAACGTCTGGCAAATAGGTTTTGTTTTTTACCTTTTGAAGTTTTAGGCTTGGCTTTGCAAACAGGCAAGGGATCTCAGATCCAGAATCAGTTACTGGAAATCTTACCCTCTGGCTGGGTGGCCTGGAGTTTGGTTAGGCTTTAAATCTTTTGCAACCAGTACAGAGAGAATAGAGGTCCTTAGAGAATGAGGAGTCTTTTCAGACAATAAAGATCCAAAGTAAAACCCTCGCGTAATCTGCACAAACAATACTCCAACAAATTAGAATTTGGAACAGACTGATAAACTTTGTCCAGCAATGTTTGCATGCTTCTGTTGAGTAATCCCATGGTCTTAATGTAACCTCAATCTGTCATCCTCTCCCCACAGAGCTTTGTTACCTTTTATTTGCATCATGCAAATTTGAGATATTAAGAACTTTGGACAGAGACCATGTAATGCATTTGTTAAAGGCGCTTGGCACATGCTTGAGATCTGCAAAAAAGGCTCGCGATGCCAGGCAGCTACAGTCTCTGTAACAGTAGCACATTTTCCTAGCACTTTTCTTCCTCAGCAATCTTGAACAATACAAGTTGAAAAATGAACCACATTTGGAGGTTCCTGCCACTGAAATGAAGCCACTTGTATTTTGCACACAAACAGATCGTAGCTTTTGCTTTGAGGAGTTCATAATAGTCACGACACCTAGAAGCAACAGCAGGAGAGATATAGGAGAGAGCATGGAACAAGTTCCATCGTACGCATTCGTTAAATTAGTCCCTTTTGACCTTTAATGTTATGATAGTGCAATAGTGGACTCCCTTACATAACAACATTAGGACAGGAAGTAAGAGAGACTCCAGTCTCTAATTTCAAATGCAATGGGAGTTCAGAAATACCAAAAGCAGTTCCCTAGTTTGGAATCTGGCAAAGAAACAAGGTACGGTAGCTTCTCTTTGGAGATGTTTTAGGGGTATTTGACAGGCACATGGGCATAGGCCCTTCTTTTTACGTTTCCCTTGCAGTAGGTGGAGGTCTGCAGTGCGAGTTTTGATATCACACGACTACAGTTACAGTGAAGGAGGACAAAAATCCAAAATTGTTTTAATGCATCAGTGTGCCAAGTGCAGTCCTGGTCACGTGACCAAATGCTTATGGGAAAGTGCTCCCGTGATAATAAATGATCTCACTGGGAGAGCGATGAATGTGTGAATGTGAGATACACATCAATGCTGTGTGCAGGTTTAGACAGACAGTGGCTTTTTAAGAAACCCCTCTGTTTCTGTGTGGGGGCTGGAAGTGCACACCCGAACTCTGCATAGGAAGGAGGATTTAGTAATGGCCTGATTTTAAAGCTTTTGTTATTTCTCTTTTGAGCAGGTCTAATCCAGCCCTCTGGTCCAGGCTTTTGGCTTCCTTTGGGGACTGCAGGCTGGGGCTTTTCATTGTTAGATGAAACAGAAATTTGGACGCTTTCCCTTCCTGGAGCACATTTGCTTTTAGCGCTTTTAATACTTGCTTTGTCCCAACCTCAAACTTGTTCTATTTTGTTTGCTGCCTTTTTTTTTTTTTTTTTAAATACCTTGATTCAGCAATGGCAAAAGCCCGATGCCTGAGACTACTCTACAAAGTTCCTTCTCCTTTTTTACTAACCCCAGTTCCTACTGTTTCACAGACTTTTTTTTTCTTCCTGAGAGTAAAAACAACCCACAAAACTCGCATACAAAAGCTCCAAAACATGTTGCCTAACGCAAGACATTTCTGAAAACTCTGCTGTCCATGTAAGGTTGTGTTTTGCAAATTTGTGCACCCTTTTCTAGCCAAGTCACCCAACTATCTCTTGTATCCAGCCACCTAGTTTGTCTTGCGGAGTTTTTAAAAGAGCCTACAAACACACACTGGCAGATGGTCTGAATTTTCCCAGCCAGCTGAGGGCTGTCATGACAGAGCTTCCACATGGATCCCAAATGCAACTGGTTTGCAGTCTCATAGCCTGTTATCTCAGTGCGCAGAGCCCTCCTTCTGGGCAGAGGGTCAGAACTGCTAATCTTGAGGAGCAGCAACCCACGTCAGGGCCCTGCTTGCCCCTGGGGTACAGTAGGAACCCAGGCAACAACCAGACTCCCTAGACTCCAGCTGCACCGATAAGAAGTTTGGTTAAGGCATATGCAGATAGCTCTGCAGTCTCCATCACCAGTGTGTGTGATGGTGCAAAGAGGTAATGAGCAAAGCTACTTCCAATCCTGATGGGAAATAGCAAGACATAAAAGGCACGGAAACAGCTGCAGTTGGTCACCTGCAGTCATTGTAAACACCTAAAAGTTCTGCGGTAGTTGGAGATCAAGTTCCAGGGAACCATCCAGTGAGCAGAAGGAGGGCCCTGAAGCACTTCCCACTGCTTCCCAGCAGCTAGAGGCTGCTGCTTAACACACAGGAAGAGGCACAGGGCTTCCATATGCTGGGGCAAGGGAAAGCAGTTACACATGGGGCATCCTGCATGCAGCCCAGGCAGAGGCCATCTTGGTGCAGTTTGAAGCTGAACTTCTGAACCCTTGCTAAACTTGTTCAGTCTGGTGCTTGTTTGGATTAAGAGCAAAAGGCAGAGGGCTACATACTATGCAGGAAGCACTCGATCAAAGCGTTGGCAAGACTGTCTTCTCCCTGCCACATCCCTTCCCAGGACGCCTCTTGGCTTTGCTCACCTGCAGCCTCTGATTCTTTGCTTTTGAATTCATATGCTATGCACAGCATAGTTTTCATGCAGATGAGAAAAACCACATGCTGCTGGAGTGAAACACTGATAGCAGTGAAACCAGATTCTACTCCAAGGGACTAAAGGTGTCCACAGAGCCTGAGAACTTTATAATTCATGAGGAGTGCATGGGGAACCTGCCTCCCCCCTAACACATGGCAACTTCTTCAGTTCAGGAGATGGAGGAGGGAATAACTTGGATATTACCTGTGCCAATTTCTCTTCTGCCAGTAAGCAGCTGATAATGAAGTAGCAGCTGAGCACTCAAAATCATGCACTCCCTAATCTATAGCACCTCTTGCTGACAGAGCCTAGGCTCAGGGAATCTGTGACACCCCTCAGTCCTTTTGATTTAACCAGTGTTTTGGACCTACCCAAATTGAACAAGTACTATATTCACATTAAAAGAGCCTCCAGATGCTGGCCTGTCAATGTTTGTTCCAGATAGAGAATTAGTCCACACTATCCATCCAACAACCTCCATGCTGGAAAGAAAGCTGTTGAGCTATTCAGGTTTCCAGTCCTGAAAGCAAGGAGAGAAGTTGGATCTGCAGCTGCACCTGAAGGCTTCCCAAATGGTTCTGGTGTGTGGTAGCCTGCACACACATGACTGGAATCTGAGAACAGTCTTGTCACTCTCCACAGTGCTGGTGAAATCCCTTAGAACTTCCTCAGCCTTACAGGTTAGTGAAAATATTTTGTTGCCGCAGCACTTAACTGGAACGTGCCAGGCAAGAGCATAAACCAGAGGCAAAGCTAAGAAATAACAGCAGGAAGTTATGGAAGTGAAAAGTCAGGCTGAAGAGGAGGGAGCAATCCTTGGCTGCACGACAAATTTGCTTGTGGAACTGTCCCTCAGAAACAGGGAAGTCCTTGCCTAGGCCAAACACAGGAAATGAACCACAGGGAGTAATCCTGCATTGACAGGGAACAAACCTGAATAGTTTTCCATCTCCAAGTTCTGCAGACAGATGTTATGGAAGAGAGCGGGGAGGAAGGTAGACAAAATAGCTTATGGAGTATGTGGGTACTCTGATGGGCAGATTTCTGCAAAAGAGCCCATAGCCAGTAAAGCAGTTAACAGACAGCATTCACAACCTATCACTGTCAAAAACAAATCAGGCATAAAAGCAAAAAGGCAAAGAAGTAAAACCCAAGAAACGAGAAATACTGTGGTAGGGGTCACCTAGGCAGTGTCCAGACTACAGGCGGGAGACCAGACCAAGGAGCTATGGAGTGCTCCCCAGTTTATTTCTGACCACAAGCTCTTCTCATGCATCTCCTGCTTCCCCTACGACCAGAGCTTGGCTCAGCTGACGTTTCACTTTCATATTATACCTTCTTCTGCTGTTCTCAAACTCCTTTTCTGTGTGGCTAGATGATCTCATACTGTGTTGGAAAGTTGCATGACCAGGAACAAGTCAGGATCTGCACGCCACCACTTACCAATGCAAAGCAGGGAAATTCTTACCTCTCTGCAGGGAAATCTGGGTGTCCAAAGTTCATACAATGGAGACAATACAACCACTTCAGAAAGTAGAGTGGGGATTCCACTTTGAGTTTGTGGAAAACAACCTTTTTCCAGAAAAGCATTTTCTGGAAGGGCAGAGCAGGCAAGGGAGTTCTGAGTTATACAGCCACCCTTCACATCACTAGATCAACTGCAGGGCATACTCCAATACTTGTTAAAACAAGACAGTTTGCTGACAGTTCCATGTGGTGGCATGTTACTTTTTATCCTTAGTTAGGTGATAACCACTGCATGCCAGACACATTGTATTTGAAATAGGCTCGCTTCAGATAGGGTGAATGCGATACGGGCCAAATGTCCTGGACAAAACAGTCACAAGTGCAGCCAAGGAAAAACTGAGGAGCAGCTTCTCTGGTGCTCCCAAAGCGTTAACACAGCTCCTCAGCACCTCTTTATGTACTTCCCTAGCACCTCTGTCCAGGAACATAGCTCGTCTGTGTGTCAGGGGCAAAGAACAGATGCCTCAAGAACAAAGATGACCTGTTGGGTAATTTGTGCTGTTGTCTGTTGTGTACTGGAGAAAGTCCCGAGCTCGGTAGAACCTCACTTCAGGGCAGAGACAAAGTAGAAGTCTTTCATCAGGCTGGTTGGTTTCTCCTTTAGCAGCAGATGAAGCTGCTCTGAGCAATACTGATGCAGCCCTGCAAGAAGCCTAGCCAGAGTGAGCATCAGCCAGAACTCTGCAAGAATGGAGAGACACAAAAGGAATTGCTGTCCAAATGAAGCAATCTGACAGACTTTTGCCAGCCAGAGGTTGACACTCTGAATCCACAGAGCATCCACAGAGTCTACATCCAGAAACTGTATGTAGAGCTCAGGTATACATTGTAGCCGAGGTGCTGAGCTCTGACTCATGCTTCAAGTTACACTCCCCACAATGAACCTCCTTCACCCTCAGGTGCTGTGAGTGAAATCTGTCCCTAAGGTTATGTCAGGCTCCCATCTGGGCTCTGTCACTCTGGCAGCTGAAGGTGTAGTCTAATATCAAGAGCCCTACATCCAGCAAAACATTCTTCAGCTCCATGCAAGATTTTCTGTCCCCAGATCACAGAAAGGTTTAGGTTGGAAGGGATCTCTGGAGATCACCTAGTCCAACCTCCCTGCTCAAGCAGGGTCCTCTAGAGCATATTGCCCAGGATCACATCCAGACGGGTTTTGAATATCTCCAGGGAAGGAGACTCCACTAACTCTCTGGGCAACCTGTTCCAGTGCTCTGTCACCCTCACAGTCAAGAAGTTTTTCCTCAGGTTTAGATGGAACTTCCTGGGGTGGAATGATGGGAACTCTCACAGAAGTATGTGGGGTAACATCTGGACTTCTCAAAAGTCCCTCAGTTAAAAAAGTGAAAGGTTTTAAAATTCAGAGCAAAGACTCAGACAACAGATTGCTTATCTCCCAGCACAAGGGAGCAATGAGAGAAATTTCAGGGCAGAAGGGGTGAGCCCACAGACATACAGATAAGGCTCTGAGAGACAAGCTGTCCTTCAGCAGGGCAAAGTGACAGACTATACTCCTTTACAGGGCTCTTTGCCTATTCTTTTCATCTTGCACCAGACTTCCTATTTTAGGACAGTATAGCAAGAATCATGTGTTTTCTATACGCAAAATTCTCTCCCATGTGCAATGCAAAAGCCCCTGATGGCAAGAGAATGAAGGCAGATGAGCGAGAGGGAGAGAGAGCAGGCATGGAGCAGCTGTGATGGGGAACGGACTAAATTCTCAGTGGACTGGATGCTACTAGCCACCAGTGAGAACTATCCATCTCAGTTTGCAGCCCTGATACCAATTTATTTCCACTTCTCTTCTCTGGCCTGTTGCTCATGACTACTTTCTTTTGGTCAAGAAGGGTCAGACTCCTACAGGGCCCAGGAATTGACTGACGCCTCTTCCGCCAGTGCAAGCATCACTACAGAGTAACAGGCAAGCTGCTGTGCCAAGGTTTCTGGTTCTTTCACGGACCAGGTTAAAGGTCCCTCAGGCAGCTCGTGGCAACTCAATAGCTCCGACAGGCTACAGCAGGTTTTTTTGGGGGATGGGGGAAGGCAGGGGAGGAAGAGAGTGTATTTCAACACCACATGCACAGTAAATCCACTGGTAGAGCAAGGAAAAAGCCATGAGGGCAGGCAGAGCTGGAGAGCACAAGGGCTGGTTAAACTGATGCCAAGGAACGTGCAGTTGCTGTGTTCCTGCCTTGGAACCTTTAACCAGTGGCCCAAAAAGCGTGCCCCCATGTCACTGCATATTATAGGGCACCTGAGTGACTCCCCATTGGTGTTCCCAGGGCTACAGCAGCAGTGCAAAAAGGCACTATCATCTCTCATTTAAGCAGTGCTAAAGAGGACTAAAGCAGCCATGACAGTCATCCCAAGGAGAGGTGAAGCTCAAGGATTTGGAAATACATCAGTTAACTGTGCAATATAGTCCCTGCTGTGATAGGCTCCCTGCAGAATCTTTTGATCCCTTCATGTACTGGCACTTAGAAACCCAGCAGACAAAAATGCAATGAAGGGACGTGCTCAGTTAGATAGGAAGTCCTGCTATTAAACCAGAGAGGCTTTGAGGATGAGCTGGTCAAGTTCTTACAGCACTGAAAAAGGCAGCTTGTTCCACTCAAAAGTCCCAGCCTAATTCTGCCCCAGCTCTCCCCTGCCAGCTCACTGTTACCTTTGGCAGCACCACAGACTGAGTACTTCCGAAATCAGTATGGACTTACAGAAGGCTTTAGAAACAAGTACAGAGGCAAAGAGAAGGTAAATTTGGACAAGTCATTTATGCAGGAAATTTGTGGTGAGGGTTCTGGTTTCATTCCCAAAGTAAGTACTGGGAAGGCTGAGTGTCTTCAGCATGTGGATACCCTTCAGTCCTGTGAGGGCCACCTTGCCCTACCAGGCTGGAGGAAGGTGCAAGGGAGCATTCCTGAAGTACCCCTGCACTCCTTCCTGGCTCCAGGACTCACTTGAGCAGTTCCTTCCCCCCACCAATAAAACTCCCAGTCTGATTTCTTGATCGCATTTCTTGCCTCCATCCAGATCTTTTTCCCAGTTTTGCCCCCATCCCAGTTGTTATGTTCCCCTGCTGAAGGAAAAAAACAAGGGCGGTGTGGGGAGGGACTAGCAGTGCACTAGGGAGGACTTGCATACTAATCTTTAAATATAATATTAGAGGTGCAGCACACCTACTTGCACGTGGAAGGATCTGTCCTTTGTCACTAATAGCCTATGGAACAATTTATATGAGTCGGGACATTAGATCTGGCGTCTTGGTGTGATTCCAGCAAGATACAGGATTTGCCATTTCCTGTCTGAACCTGCTGTGCAGGGTTGCTATGTGAATGCTAACTAGATACTGTGCTCCACCCCACAGCTGCTAGATAGACACAGTGACTAAAGAATCCCAAAGCCTTTTAAGATATGAGAACGAGAAGGATTTCAGAGCTGAAATATCTGATGGCCTCAGGGCTGCATCTAATGCAGAGTCCTCTAATTTGATCCTCAGTGATACCTCACCCAATACATAGCCTGCCAGCATCTCAGGGACATTTCCAAGAGCTTCTCTCCAATCTCAACTGCAGGGAGTCAGACCCGAAATGCACGAGTCTCTGGCTGCCCCCAGCCCTGCAGCCTAAGCTCTCCCAGCAACAGGCCCGTGGCCTCTGGTAACCCCTGGGCTCGCTAATGCAAGGTTCATAAACCGCTCTGACATCCCCATGGAAACAGAGTGTGAGGTCATAAACAGGGGATTAGCACCTCCTAACACTGAGCAAGGCGCAGGAGGCCACAGGAGGCTTTCAGTTCGCCCACCAAAGGCCAGGGGCCACTCAGCCCCGGGAGGGGGAAGAGAGCTTGTTACACAGGAAGGGCAGGCTGAGGGCGAATTACTAAGCGCAGCCGAGGCGGGGAAATGGGGATGGGGTAGAGGGTGAGACAGGCCTGTGACAGGTTCTCTGTGGCTGCTCATCCCCCAGCTCAGGGCTGGTACCCACCCTGGGCACCCTTCTGCACTACCTGCTGTAGGGTGATTAGACTGCATCGCTGGGGCATCCTCCTGTGACTGCCCTGCTAGTGATGAGGAGGCTAGTGCAGCAGAAGAGGAGTGGGCACAAGCTAACATGTGCAGCCGTTTTAGCTCTCTGTGGATGGATTCTTTGAATGACATGTGGTTTGCCCTTGAAACATTGACAAGAGACGATAGTGACAGATATTCCTTCTCCAAAATACTATGCATACTCTTTATGGGCTCTGTTGCCTGAGGCTTGCTCTACCCAGTTACAAAGGACTGCTCTTCCTCTTCGAAACTAGTCCCAGAAAAAGACAGGTTGAAAGACAAGACTATTCACCTGTTAAGCTTGGGTTTCTTGGGAACATGCCCTTCAGGAAGCAGAGGCCTGTGGTTTGGCAACAAACCTGAGATAGAAAAAGAAAGGCATGAGAAGATTTGCAGTGCCTCCTTGCCTCCACAGCATCCAGAAGTTACATTACACCTCATAAGCTAGACAACCCAGCTCCCCACTGGGACAGCACAGCAGAAACTCAAGCGCAGTAGAAGGGATGTTCTTTTCTTTAGTCAAGGGTGAACCTGCACTGCGGCCAGAGAGAAGCCAGCAGGTTCTGCTGGATGCACTGTGTTGAGAAGTAATACACAACGAAAGGCACAACCACCTGGGCTCACTGAAGAGGCTTTTAAAGAGCATCTAGGGCATCGGTGTCTAGTCAGATTCCATATCCAGGATGAAAATATGACTATTAAAATTCTCAGTCCATTTAACTTGGATACAGTTCAGGCACCAGATCAGTACAGTACGCAGACTAGGTCAGCCTGGGACCCATTACTAGGATAAAGCAAAGAGATCTTTGTATGGTAGAGGGTAGACAGGCACATGTTATTAATGGGGTAGAAGGCCACGCTTGCACTAAAGCAAGTCATTTTAGAGGCTGATGCTTAAAATCATTAGTTACTTCAATCTGAGCCATTTCCCACATGTTTCTGCACGGTACGCTTCTCTACAGGGATAAACGTCTGCTTCTAAAGCAGAAGACAAGACATACAGAAAGGAGAACAAGTAGTTCCTGATCCACTGTCCCGTCCCAGCACTTGGTACGTAACGATTTTGCTGAGTGACTGGGCAATGAAATCTCACCAGGTTATACTAATGGGGCGGGAGACCCTCTCAAAGGGTTCTATCATTATCCCCAGTATGGGTTTTGTCTAGGTACCTGCTCGGTGAGCCATCTGCACGCAGACCGCAATCTTCTTGTGCTCCTCCAGACAGAGGCCTGTGATCCTCCGTGGCAGCATTCCTCCATCAGAACGGATGAACTGACTCAACAGCAAGACGTCCTGAGGGATCAAGAGAAGGGCAAACCCATCAGTGCTACAGCTACTTTAAGTGCTGTGATTCGTAGGTGTTGTGCTGACCCTCAAGCTGTGTACAGAACTCAAAACAAAGCAAAACAAAACAATAATCCCTACCTACGCATTTTGGCTGCAGCTTGACAACAAGTGGCTTTCGCCTGCCGTCACTCTGCCTGCCAGCTTAGTTCAGTTAGGTCACTCAGATGGTCCGAGTCTTCCCCTGACTTCACTAGTGTAAACACATTATGTCAGCTGCAAGTTCTGCTACTTCACTGTCCCTTGCTCCAAGATTCTATCTACGATAATCTGTGTCCTAGGTACTCAGGCACAGTTACACAAGACTTACAGATGGACAGTGTTTATGTAACTTGAAATGCCATCACAGCTGCTATCCTAAAGGTCACAGATATGTTAGATCACCTCTGGCCCTTTCCTTGTTCCCTTAGAGCAGGATTGTTCCCTGCTATCTATTCTTCAGTCTTTTATCTAGTTTCCCATGGTGGAACTTCCCTCATGTCTCTCTGAAGGGGTGGAGAGCAGGGAAATGCTCCAAGATATCATAGGAGGAAGCTTTTCATAAGAAAAGAACCGTGCTGTGATGGGAAAGACCTAAATTGTTGTCTTCAGTCCTTTGTGCGTGCATTAGGTGGGGCTGTTGAAGCCATGCTGGATGGAAGGCGCACGCAGAGCGTGCCGAGGGTTCGGCTAGGATTCAAGGATCATTTAGATTACACTGCTGTTGACCTTTCAGATTAAGAGCTCTGGAAGCATAAAGCACTCTTAATAAAAAAAAAAATTAAGGGATCTCTAGCATCAGATAATATCAAAGGGCAGTACAACAAATTTTTAAACACAGCAAAACAGCTGTTGAAGAGGGTACCATTAACTGCACACAATAAAACAGCCTGACATTCAGATACGTGCTCTCCATTTCCACACACAGCACTGCTGCTGATGCATCCCTCAGGCCAACGTAGGCAGGTCCCCTTGATATGCTGACATCAACATAAGTTGGCCCAAGGGCCTCTGGAGACACTGTGCTTGTTTTTCCTCCATCTGTTGACAGACTTGCTGCTGGTTGAGAGTTTATTTCTCCGTTGCCGTTGTAAACATTTTCATAGTTGGTGTAGGTGGACCATGCAGAAGCTGCTTACAGGCTGGAAGGGACATGCCTGCAGGCACCCCCACAGCATGAGAGAATTCAAGCCAGGGAATGCTTGTTGCTTTTCTCAATGGGTGACCCTGACTCTGCCTGTTGTTTGCAAACCTGCTTCCATCCCCTATCTTCTCTCTTTCACAAAGAGGTCCCTGGAGCGTGTCTAGCTTCATTTACTGCCCTTGTAAAGGCAAACAATCACAACGATATAAAATGAACATCCTGAAAACCTAGCTATCTAGGATTTATACCTCCTCCCCTACAGCACAAGCTCAGCTCTGAAGCGAGCCACAAGAATTCAGCATGGCTTTCTGAACATGACAGATTCTGACAGATGCTGTCACACAAGTGCTGTAGTCAGAATTTAGGGTTTTTTTTTCCAATCCCACCCTCGCTAGTATCATCATCACATACAACTTCCCTCTTCCCTTATCTGGCTTCCTTTCTACCTCCGCTTGTCTAAAATTAATGCATTCTGGCTGATTTTCCGATCCAGCTCCTTTGAAAACACAATGGGTTAGGCAACTTTTTGCTGATACAAAATGCCAGATCAACCACCATACGGAGTGATGCTGCATCCAAAGAACAAGAAGTGCACAGCCGGGCAACTAGCAGCGAGCTCCTGAGAGGCCATCTATGGGTAAAAGGGAAGTGAAGTGTCCTCAGCCCAGTTAACGCATGGCCTTGCCAATGAGAACAGTAACCAGGGGACCAGTTAGTGCCAACTGCGTTGGTAGAAACTGGACTGAGGCCAGCCAAGCGGTCCAAGGGCACTGACTTTCAGCCGCTCCTGAAATGCACTGGATTAGATCCAGGAAACCAGAGCAAGACTGTCCCTTGTTTTTCCATCTTTAGCTATCCTGTTCCCCAGATCACCAACAGCTCAATTTGCCATTTAGCATAAACATCTCACTTCACTAAGTGAGAAAGGGCTGTTCAGTTCCAAGTGCTTAGAAGGAGAAAAACTTTCTAGACTTTTCTCTTAGCCTGCTGTGTTCCTCTGTGGGGAAGAGGAAAGAGGGAGCTGATGGCAAGTTTGAGGCTGTTCCAGTCTTTGCAGCCATGAAGGCCTAAGTAGGCCACAGGCTCTTGTGGAGTGCCTAGGGTGTGTGTGGTCCAAGCACTTTCTCATATTACCACCACGCCTCATGGACCCATAGGGTTGCTATCAAGTGCTTCTATGCAAAAGGAGGAGGTGAGAAGCAAAGGGAGATATTCTATCTTTTTCTCCCTCTGAAAAAAACATCAGGAAAATCCATTCTCTATTATCATCTCTGACCAACAGCTCACCAGCTGACCAACCTCTCTTGTGTGACAGTCATTTCTTAACTGAATCATCTATGTCCTGGCCGCTGCAGCTCCCAATTAACGCTCATGGCTGTTTAGCTTAAAATGCTGCACACTGGACAGAAGGTGTATCCATTTCTGAAGACCCCCACAGTTAACGTGGCAGGTGCCTCTCCCAGAATACTCGCACGGATGCATCTTACCACAGGGAGAAAGCAGACAGGTACAGCCAACAGGGGCAGCTGTGGAGGGAAGTGAACAAGTATGCAGAACAGTCCGAGGAAAAAAAAAAAAAAAAAGTCTGGCAAGTTCACATGGTGCCGTCATGTTCCATGAAATTCACATTTTGTGCTAGTAGACAGCCAAGCCTGTAACTACGGATTTGCTTTAATCACTGGACAGCTCCCAAGGGGCTGGACCCAGATTCCCACCCCTGTAATCTGCAGCATTTGATGAAAACAACTTGGATTGAATTAATCTAGGGCTAATAGGCAAAACTTGCAGTTTGGTTTCCCCTATTTGCTGCCAAAGAAAGATGACATATTTACTGCCTGCTCAGACTAACGATGTTTGAAGTGGATAAGGGGGAAAAGGAAAAACAAGTTTAGCCTTCACCTCTAAAAGGGCTGGATAAACTAGATAAACAAAACACTACGCCCAGCACATTCTTGTGAATGGATGGCAACTGAAATGCAGAGGCACAGCATCTGCAGTCACTTTGAAACCCAAGTTCCTTGCCTGGTTATATGTCTTCCATTAAAACCTTCATTTACCCCAAGAAGTATTCTGTCTGTGTAACTAAACTAGTACTGGGCTGTACCAGACAAGCCTGTCAGTCATTATTTCAGGTTACATAAGAATCTACCTTTTTTTCACCCTCCCTTACTCCTGGGAGCTATACACCAGTCTCCAGGCTTTTCGTAACAGGATTGCAGGTTCCAGTCCAGTTACGTCTTGACAACGACCAACACCTTTTTTAAGCTCCAATGGATACTAGGTGGCTACAAAAAATCAACCGAGGTCTCAGTTTCAGTGGATTGACGTACCCAAGCCATAAACAGTGGCAATCTGCACCATGGACTTCTTTATTCTGAGCCTCAGTAGAGGCTAAAGACTGAACGGGCAATGACAACTGCTGCCCTCCACACCAGAGCTGAGGCAGGCTGGAATCATGACCTGCTTGTGTTCACAATGCCTGTTCAGTTGATTAATAACTTGGGCGACATTGGTCCCCCCGCTTTCTCTGACAGCTAAAGTAACTCATTATGCCACTACTTTAGACTGTGCTAGTTGTACATGACAAAAGGAAAGTCCTATGAGGTCATACTACCCAGCTCCCTCAGGGGCTAATTCAACACTTGCCTTTTCATAGTGCTTTATTCTGTCCAATTATAAGCATCCCAAGGGAAAGCTCACACTTTCCTTTCTATGCAACTACCTGATCTCAGATTATCAAATTATAAATCGCAGAGGAACCACTACAATCCATTTATTCTGATCTCTTATCAAACAGATTATGTTGTATGAATGAGGATATATCCTTAAGAAAAACAGCTGTTCTCAATTTAAAGACTTCAGGCCACTCACAACCACTGTTGAGTAAATCGTGTCACTGTTTAATTACTGACAGAGTTAAATGTCTGCATATCACTATTTGAGCATTTCAAGATTCTGCTACTCATCACTGCTGCAGCAAAAAAAAAAAAAAAAAAACCAGCAGAAATAGCTTTTGTGCAGAAAAAGGGGAGAATTTTATTCACCTGAACATTTCAAAGCCTGAAAATCCATGACTGGTGCAAAGCATTCACACACATAAGAGACTTATTCAAGCAGAGGAAGTGAGCTGCTCCAGAAATGAAGTTTCTCCTAATACCCACCAGCTCCAGAGAGGAATGCTTCTAAATATACAGGTAGGAACCTTCTACAGTTTTGATTTACCAATTCACACTGCGCTGTCTAGCTTTTTGTCCAGGTTGCCCTCTGCCCTGCAGCAAGAGTAGTAGATATGTACGTAATCAAGATGCATATACATTCTAAACCAGCATGACAGCCAGGAAGGACATGTTCCTAGCTTGTCTCTCAAGAAAAGAAATTTGTTAGGGACAATTTCAATTAAACAATGATTCGCAAGAATCTCTTCTAGTGCTTAGTTTTCTCTTACCTCCCTAATGAGTCACAGAAATCAGGATCGAGGAACCAAACTGAACTTCACTATGGAAGAAAATGCATAATCTTAGTTCATCGTACAAATACACCTAAGGCTCATGCTTCACATTCTCTGTTGTGACCAACAGCCTACTTCTAAACCTGGAACTTGGGTTCTACAACACCATGTGTTTGCCTAAAACCACTTCTTTTGTTCTCAACAGCCCTGTTATCTCTATCTGCAGCAGAGTCCTCCGCCACAGAAAACAGGAGAATATGAGTCTTGGTATTAAATTCCAAAATGTAATCTACTCCCATTGCTCATTTCATCACTGGGCATCAGTTTATAGTTTCTCTGGGGTTAACGTGCAACTCATGGAGTGCTTGCTGGAGATCTGCAGAGAGCTAGCTAGTTTAATGGTGCTGTTGACTCCTTGCATCCAAAAAAAAACCACATGAAACTAAATTAACCTTAGAAAAGTGTTTTCCCGTGTAAGTGACTAATCTGTTTTGATCACCGCCAAGTTCAACAATCATGAAGGAGGAAAGACTCGCTTGCAATAAGTCTTGCATTGAAATATTGGCAGCAGAAAAATTTGAATCTGGTTTTGCAGTACTCTCCTTACCTTAATGGTATTTGTCATTTATTCTGATTTATCATCCCATGCAAATTCAGTGTATTTTTAGCTTTCCCAGACTGTTGTGCATACCAGACCAGAGAATACCAAACACCTGCTCCCACTGTCTTTTTCATTGTTCAGTATTGTATCCGGCCTTAGCCTGAATCACGGACAACACTCACATCCTAGACAACGTCATTTCTGCAATACAGGCTTTGAAAGACACTAACCTGATATTTCATTTAGATCTCATAACTGTTGTTTCATCTGCCTGGAGTAATTTTAAATATTTTGTCTGGCACTATTTTCGTACTCATGTTCTTCATAACTCATGAGTCATAAGCAGTCCTATCCAGCAGGTGATTTATGTTTACTCCTATTCGATGCCATTGTACTAAGAAATTTTCCACATTTAATTCACCAAGTGGTAATCATCAGAATCATTGTTTCCTCTCTCAACCGTTCAGTATTTCACTTGCTATTTGCAAAGCACTTGGTAATTCCTTAAAATTTGTTCAGGCTTTGAAAAAAACCCTGCAAGTGAAGTAATATATTTGTTAGTTAATTTTCTTAAGGTTCTGGGGGCTACACGCAATCCAGGCCTGCTGGTCTGTACCTAATTCAATGCTTAAGTTATTTCTGTACCTGCTTATTCTCTTGCTGTTTTGCAGTAGTCATTTGCAATATTGCCATTACTACCTAATTATTCAAATGTAACTTTTCTTTCTTGTGTGTGTGTCAGGACTGCAAGTGAACAGCTTAGTCATTCTGCAGCCAACCTGTATTTTAGTCCGCCTCTCCTCTCATTAGCGGACTTTCTTTCTCACAAGTATTTCTTCTCCAGATGTATTTGTATCTGTATCCCCCTAATCCTATTGACATTAACTTATGCTGCTTTTTTTTTTTTTTTTTGCCTTATCTTAGTAACAGCATGTTCCTGTCTGGTTTTCTTCCTTTCCACTTCCAACATTGTGTTTTTAGCTTGTAAGGGGGAGCACTTAGTCCTTTTTTAAACTTTGTGTTTGAATGATCTCTTGTAAAGCTACATTCTGCATCTTCTGTCTCACTCTCCTTATTCAAAAGTGCTCTTGACTGCTGTGCTTTTCTTTTAACGTATTAAAGAATTTCCCTGCCATCTTCCACATTTAGTGTTAACAATCGTCTTGTTAGTTAATAAACTTTTCATTAGTAATTCCTGCAGTCAGTGCTTCAATCAAATCTGTATTTCCTTTGCCGAGAGGGATGAAAACATTGTTGAAAGGGATGCAAACATGTATGGTCATCTCCATATCCATCAAAAGCTTTAAAAGGGATGTAAAACAGTAACTGCCTTAGTAGACAACGACCCAATGAAAAGCTGCAGTGCTTCGAGACACAATGGACCGAGTCAGGTCTTTTGGCCCCTCTGGAGCTGGAATAGGCTTGAATCAGTTGACTAAATGTTGTTTTCCAACTGGAAACCGCTAGAACTACAACACTGAAGGGCAGCTGGGCACATTGGAGACATATGGCCTCCTCAGATCAGATGGCCACGTGTAAGGGGCATGTGCATAATTGCAAGCTTCCTATTCGATATGAACTCCTCTTCCTTTCTCCCTAAAGGGAGAAAAGGGCCTCCAGGAAAAATTCTGGAAAATACTATGGAGAGAAAATTGTAATTTCCAAGATGAAACAAAGGAGTCTGAACGCCATTTACCAAAGTGAGCAGTTACTATGCAGGAAGCTCTTGTTACATCCAAGAGAAACGGAGGTGGGGTTAACTAGCTTTACTACGCTCAGCCAAACGAGAAAGTGGCAGGTTGTGCAATATGAAGATCTGAGAGTAGTATTTAACTAGTGGGGATGGGGAAACTCTCCATCATCACACTTACCACGTAATCGTACTTATGCTTCAGGTTCCAGCGACAGATGGGACACTGGCCAGAGGGGTTAGGAGGAGTTGGCACCTCAGCATCCTCTATAATTCTCCCTTCAATCTAAGAAACAATTCAGAGGATAAAATGATCAAGCAAAGATTCCAGTTTAGACCTCTGCACGCATCTGTGACTTGACGAATACTTTTCGATCAAGTCCACAACACATTGATCAGCATTGAACAAATGTTAAGGGGACAGAAACTGCACTGTACAGCTCACTCAGATACAAACAGATCAAGCTCTGTGGATATACACAAGCTGTGGATAAAAGAAACAAATCCAAAGGGCACAGAAGACCCATTTGGTAAGTTCCTGTATATGTTTCTTTCGATCCAATCCAGTTCACAATTAGCGCGAAGCACATGAAACACTTGTCTGAATTCCATTTATTGCAGTAGTCACTCAGACCACAATGTCTTCCAATTGTAGTGGCCCTTTAGCGAAAAGTCTTAAAATTGCGCTGGGAATATGAGAATATCACTGAATAGCAGATGCACGCTGTAGGCCAAAATACGCAGGGGCCTGCTACATTATAAATCACCAAGAAGAAAGAAATCTGAGCAAAAGTCAAATTGAAGAAAGGCCTGTTAGAAGATGTCTGTAGGGATTTCTTTTTAATACATCAATATTTTATCCAGTTTAATTCCCTGAAAAATTCCTTTGCTTTTAGGAGATTATTTTACAATCTTTTCTATATCACTACAAAGTGGTGACATCTAACACTCAGTTTTCTTAAAAGTAACATGCAAAGAAATATGGAAGATGTGTGTGGGAAGAACTTGAGAGATTTGTTTTCTAAACCTAGAAGCGTCAAGAATATCAAGTCTATATAAGTGCATGCATGTCTTTTTTTTGAGGACTTATGAATATAAGCAAGAACTCCCTCAACTTACAGCTGAACAGAGAGAAAAGACAATTAAACTTAGCCAGCTTTTCTCCAGAACGTTTTGGGAGTTTTAACTGGTCAAATTAAGATCAAGAAACAGACTTTGAACACCAATTGTCAACCTCAAGTAGGGCAAGAAAGCTTTTGAAAGGCAGGAAAACACAAGTATAGAACAGAATTTGGAAACACTATGCCAAAGATCTTCCATTATGCCAGGGTTTTGCAGGAGGCAAAGATCTTTAAACTTCTAGGCTAGACCCAGATAAATCTGGATTAATAGATTTGTTCTGAGTAGCAAAGAGCTTAAAAGAAATCCCGGATATGTTTTCTGGGAAGCCAGAGTATGGGGTTCCCTCAGGGCCTTGATCCTTGCCAGTCTGGCTTCAGACTGTACTTTGAGTGTAAATTGCATTTTAGGAACGAATAAAGATTTGGTATGTATGTCAATATCAACTTTTCCTGAGATAATTACCAAAAACTGTACTCTGAAATTTATTTCCCCAACTACTGAGGGCTCTCACATTTTAAGTCACTCAGTTTTTATTCTTCTTTTAGAGAACTAATAGGGAAACTACGAGAAAATAAGGGCTCTGCATTCACAGTATGCTGATGAAATCCAGATTTCCCTGAGATTCATTCATCTGGTTCATGTCAAACACTTCCGTCAACACTGATAAGAGCAAGAGCACATAGGATGATGAGGATTTGCAAAAGTTTGATGTAGCGTTGGTAGGATACGTGAAGCGACCAGAAGATATGCTGGGAAACATATCAACCCTTTAGTTCATCAGTTCACACCATTCGTTCAAGTTTTTCTCATCTGATGCATCTTGGATCGATGCTAGGATATTATACAGGAGAACTTTACAAGTCTCCTCTGTTTCTACAACGGACCAAAGAGTTGAGAATTATTTTTCTAAAGGGTTTGGCTACTGCAATGCATACCTTTGTTACTTCATGCCTAAATTAATGCACTGGGTCTGTGAGATTATAATTTATATCCCACTTGACACATGAAATGAGTGCAAAATATAGCAATCCACTATCCCCATCCCTCTCTTCCTCCCCTCCTCCTTTTACTATTTACAAGAAAACACTTCTAGCAAAAACATATACTTTGCTAGGTTGGGCTAAAACAATTTTACGCTGTAAGCTCTTCTCCAGGTATATGGAAAAAGATGAGAACTTATGCACTTGAGAGGAAAAAAAAAAGACTTCCCATCACATCTACTATCACTTCTTAAACTTACTTTTGTTGACAACCTTGAGGTCTTGCTAATTTCAGGGTTTTGTGTGATATGATATACCTAAAATATAAGTGACTTGCTCCATTCAGGTTTCAAACATGACACTATTCACTAACCTAAATACGGACAAGAAGGCAACTCAGACTTTCAATGACAGGCACGATCAAGTTTTGCCTGTGTTTCATGAGCAAGCAGAAACCCTGTCTCCTCTTTATTATTACTCACAGATTATCTTTTAATGCAGTGCCTTCTAGATAGTCTCAAATACTTCTTTTTCCACCCTCCCCCTTGGCGTATACACACTTCAAAATATCTGTATTGCCTGTTTCTAATTAAGATATAGATAGTTCCAGTATTAGCATATATAACGTGAACAAAATCATTCAATCCTCTTCTTCCCCCAGTAACGTCCATGCTTCTTCAAAAAACTACAAGTCTTTTGATAAAGTGCTACAGATCAGATAGCGCTAATGAAGTAAAATTGTAATTCTACTTCTTTGGTCATTTTCCTTTCTGTGTTAAACTGTAGAAGAGAAAATGCTCTTCTTCATCAGTTACTCCCGAAATTCTGTTTTCTTTTCTGAAGCAGTTTCCTCCTAGAATTTAGGCTCCTGCTTTGCTCTGATACCCTTCTCATGGAAAAAGGAATATGCTACTGAATATGTTACACATGCTAACAAACATGTTATAAAATGCAAGCTTTGTATTACCTACAGTCACAAAGGTACACAACCAATTCAGCTTGATTAGCAAGTATAACACACATCCAAAAAAAGGGCAAGTGAAATGCACGGCAGAGAAGCGGCACAGAACAATCCTGAAACAGCACATGCTGTTGCCGCCCCAAGACAAAGGTGAAACAACAAAATTAACAGGCAGACTTCGTGTCTGCCCACACTAGTTAAAGAGCGGCAACTAGCATTGCCTCGGCCCTAAAAAAAGGCAAACGCACCTGAAGAATTGCCTTTTGTGTTTCAGCTACTGAACGCCCCCAGTCAGGGCTTCCCATTTTACCAGGTGCGCGACAAGGTGACAGGTTTCACAGGCGTACGTGGTCCTGACAGGAGCTTTGGCTCAGCAGATCCCATCACCAGAAAAACGCGTCGGGGGGATGATGTAGGCATTTTGCAGCCTAACCATCCGCCCGGGCATCAGCCTAACCATCCACCTGGGCATCTGCAGGCGTAACACACGTTGTTGGCATTTGTTTCGCCTTTGCGCCCTGCGACATCTTCCCTTTCGCTCTCGCTCTTTAGGGACTCCAGGAACGAAACTGGTGGCTTATATCTTTCTGAACGAGGCAAAAACGCCAGCGCGGGTAACCGTCGGGAAAAGACAGACTTACTGTGGTCGTGTTGCCTTCGGTCACTTCCACGACTGCGAAAAAAAAAAAAAAAGACTCAAGCTGAGAGAAGTAAGTTTTTTTTTTTT